GTACTTTGAAAACCATCTGTCTGAATTTATTCATTTAATTTCCTACATGTCTTCAAAAACTTAATTTCTGGCTGATTCCATTCTGCTTAAAATGTTTCTATTTAAATTTTAGTGTAATTTTTTTACATTTTTGAAGTTTTCCAACAAAATTTGACTTTTTCAATTTGAGCATCTTGAACTTCATGTTTCACACGCCTACATTTCCAACCTATGAACCAATTAAATAAACCAAACGTTTAAATCTTCCATGTGGGAAAAGACAGGATTTCCATACACGTGATATCACAAATGCAGAAATATATTGTAGAGAGCCTCCTTGTTGTCTGTCCTTGCAAATAAATCATTATTTTTTGTGTGTCCACAATGAAAAACCCCATTATGTTGGTTTTACTGACGTACTTTGTGCCTTTAAGATTGTTGTGACCTTCATCTTAACTTCTGCCTCCATCTCTTGTGCACAGAGAGAGTGCATCTCCATCCACGTGGGCCAGGCAGGTGTTCAGACAGGAAACGCCTGCTGGGAGCTCTTCTGCCTGGAGCACGGCATCAGTCCTGATGGCGTCCCCCTGGAGGGTCCTGCAGAACCGAACTCCGGAGAAGAACAATTCAACACTTTCTTCAACCCTGGCAGTTTCGGGCGTCATGTTCCACGAGCCGTCTTTGTCGACCTGGAGCCCACAGTGGTTGGTGAGCGCTCGTGTTTGTTTTTATTCTGCTTATCTCTGCCTTTTATCACCATCCCTTCCTCCTGCGTGTGTGGTTGTGTGAATCTATTGTTAAAGCGTCTCCGTCCTCACGGCTCATGCAGGCTCAGTAACTGCTCATGTGATCCAAGCCACTGGTTTCCAGGCAACAAGTGCATTGGTGGCTCATTTCCATTTTATTTCAATGTGGCAAACAATTACAGAGGTGTGTTGAATAAATAGCAAGTTAATACCTGAATGAGTGATTCATTGATTGTGGCTCGGTGAAAGCCATTTTACAATATGTACCTTCGATTTGTACAACGAAAAATAAATATGGTTAAATATGACTGTATTATAAATATTGTTTCAGTGAAGCCCTCCGTGTATGGAGCCCCAAACCTGACAAAACATAGTACAGGGTTATCAAGTACATCATACTGTGAATTAGGTCGTTAATATTAAGTGTTCAAAAATATAGATTTTTATGGCTTCACCTTTAAAATTAATGGATGTTTACTTTTGTAAAATGAAGTCAAGTTAAACCAAGCGGCCGTTCATCTCACTGACGTTTGTGAACACCATCTTTGATTTCAGATGAAGTGCGAGTTGGAAAGTACAGAAATCTGTTCCACCCTGAGCAGCTGATCTCTGGAAAGGAAGACGCAGCCAACAACTACGCTCGTGGTCATTACACTGTCGGGAAAGAAATCATCGATGACGTCATGCAGCGCATTCGTAAAATGGTTTGTGATGATAACAAGTTCAGTTTGATGCTGAGTCCAAGTTAACTTTTGTGCCGAATTTAAAAGGGTTCTCTTTGGGTGATCTTGATTATAAGATGATAATTCTCATTAGGTTAATACATCTTTCATAAAAGGATCATTTCTAACCACTTGAAGTCAATGGAGACTTTCTGTGTTTCTTCTCATCAGACGGACCAGTGCTCCGGCCTGCAGGGGTTCCTCGTCTTCCACAGCTTCGGAGGCGGCACCGGCTCCGGCTTCACCTCGCTGCTGATGGAGCGTCTGTCTGTCGACTACGGCAAGAAATCAAAGTTGGAGTTTGCCGTCTACCCAGCTCCCCAGATTTCTACAGCTGTGGTGGAGCCCTACAATGCCATCCTGACCACCCACACCACCTTAGAGCACTCCGACTGCGCCTTCATGGTGGACAACGAGGCCATCTACGACATATGTCGCCGCAACATGGAGATCGACAGTCCTGGCTACATCAACCTCAACAGATTGATTGGTCAGATTGTTTCCTCCATCACCGCCTCTCTTCGTTTCGATGGCGCCCTTAATGTCGATCTCATGGAGTTCCAGACCAACCTGGTGCCATTTCCACGAATCCACTTCCCCCTGGTTACCTACTCGCCCATAATCTCTGCTGAGAAGGCGAACCACGAGCAGCTGAGCGTGTCCGAGATCACGAACGCCTGCTTCGAGCCGACCAATCAGATGGTGAAGTGTGATCCTCGTCGTGGAAAGTACATGGCCTGCTGCCTGCTGTACCGAGGCGATGTCGTCCCCAAGGATGTTAACACGGCCATCGCAAGTGTAAAAACCAGAAGATCCGTTCAGTTTGTCAACTGGTGCCCCACTGGTTTCAAGGTGAGTATCACTGTGAAAGATGGTCACATCAACACGAATGCAAAGCCAGTATTGCGAGTCAAAGTTGAACTTGATGGGGAAGCAATGCTGCAATATGCTTCGCCACAGAAAGTGAATGTTTTAATCACAGCTTCTTTATCCTTCTGATCACTCTCTTTATTTCAACAGGTCGGCATTAACTACCAACCTCCGACTGCAGTTCCTGGTGGAGACCTGGCCAAAGTCCAGAGAGCCGTGTGCATGCTGAGCAACACCACTGCCATCGCAGAGGCCTGGTCTCGACTTGACCACAAGTTCGATCTCATGTTCGCCAAGCGTGCATTCGTCCACTGGTATGTGGGTGAGGGCATGGAGGAGGGGGAGTTCTTAGAGGCCAGAGAGGACCTGGCCTGTCTGGAGAAGGATTACAAGGAGCTGGGTGAAGCGGACCTTGATTCTGAAAACGACGACATGGACCAAGAATACTGAGCCGTGTTGATTTTATCCTGCACTGTCAATATTTTATATCGTGAATCTTCTGCCCTGTTTTTAAAATGTCAGCTTTAGAGGAAGACTCTTTACAAACATGTGAAACGTGTTAGAGACTCGACGGTCTAGTGGCCTACGATGATACCACATAACCACAATGTCTACATTAAATGTAGAGCTGTGTTCTCTCTCTCGCACTCTCGCTCTCTTCACGTTTCCTGTCTGCCTCTCTGCTGTATGATAAAGACAAACATGTTCAATAACCTTCAGATGAACGGAAACACAAACCAGCTAATTTAGACTTTTGATAAAATAATGAGGTAAAATCTTCAAAAACTCAAACTGGAACCTTGTGTTTTGTTAATATTTGATCCTCAATGTTTGAGGTTATCTACAAAGTGACATATATATGTTTAGGATCAATAGAGCTCTATATGGACAGATTTCAGATTTGGTTGTTGTGGTGTGTTGTGTTGTGTTGTGTATAGCATATAAAGAGCTTATAGAGCTTATTACTTATAGAGCTTACTTTAAAACACATCTCTTCATCCACCCATCTATCCACTCATCCATCCATCATCCATACACCCAACCTTCCATCCATTCATCTATCCATCCACCCAACCTTCCATCCATCCTCTCATCCATGGAAGACTCGCTCCACCCCCTGAACCACAGTCTTCACCTCATGCAGACTGCAGCAAACACATTTTCCAGGCAACACATTTGGAAGGTGGATCGTTCCGAGCATCTTGGAGGACTTTGGTTTATTCAGCCTCAGTTGCTTCAGTCTCTCCATGTGATGCTCCCCCCTCTGTGTACATGGTCCAATGCCCTGCAGCTAAATAAATCTGAATCTGATCAGACACCTCCCTGCTTCTGATGGTGTTGATGAGAGAGAGAGAGAGCTCATGACTCCAGGCCCTCTCCTGGTTTTCATCCTCAGGTGAAGTCTCCTCCTGTGTCTCGTCCTCATTGTCTCGGAGCTGCAGCTTCTGTTTTCAAACCTGCACACACACTCACTACTTAGACAACAAGTCCCGGCGGCCGTGAAGGTGTCACCTGAACGTATCCATCCGCCGCAAGCAACAACACAAGACTGTGTACAAAGAGAAGAACTAGTTCACAGTTTATTAAATATGAATAACACGACCTGTGATGGTATTTACTTTAAGATGCACTTTAGTTTAGACGAGGGATGAAGTGTCAGGTTGCATGAATCGTCTCATTAAAAGATTTAAACTGATGCAGAAGAAGAACAGGAACTTATTGAAAACATAATGAAGACATTTTCTGTCACAGTTTTGTTTTAACAAAAGAAAAACTACCAAAGTACCATCATCAAAATGCAGGCTACTTAAATGAAAACATTCACCATCCAGAATAAACCATTTGAGCATGACGTTTGTTATATTACTGTATTATCACACATATACATATATATTTGCAACAAATGAGTATCCCAAAATACAATTAAATATTGATATACATGATTGTTAAACATTCAAAACTTTCTTACATATAAGAAAAAAAAAAAACTCAGATATACAAGAAACCAAAGCAAACTTGTGCAAGAGACGTATGTGAATCAAGAACTCACCCAGAGACAAAGAAGGAAATAAACAGAAACACACACAAATAAAAACCAATGAGCTACAGATGGAAATAAATAAGGGACAGATATGCAGTTGTCTTTCTAGGGGCCCCCGAGCCTGAGTCTTACATTTACAGCCATACATGTTTAAATGTCATAATGTGATGTCGTGGAAAATACACAGCACAGCTTGTTCACCAGCAGAACCGACGTGTGACTGTGTAATTACTCATCAATAAGAGGATTCGACGCTGAACGTGCAGCAAACCGATCAATCACACAGGACTGAGCGGTGTCTAGTTTTTCGGGCGGACGTGCTCACTGCCTTGGAACATTCTCCTCACTGTGCGTGGATGTGTGTGTGAGTGAGTGTGTGTGTGTGTGTGTTGATGTCGACCGACCGCAACCGAGTCTGACGCCGAAACAACGAGGCTCCAGCCCCGCCAGAGACGCTCCGGGTGACCCGCTACACCTCGACGCCTCTCCCCCCCCCGTGTTGCTGTTGTTTTTGTCGCGGTGCTGGACGCGGCGATCCGTCCCGTCCGAGCCTCCTCCGGCGGGTCAGCCCGAGACGATGAGCCAGCCTCGGCCGGACGAGTTCCAGCCTCCTCCGGAGTGCCCGGTCTTCGAGCCCAGCTGGGAGGAATTCGCTGACCCCTTCGCCTTCATCAACAAGATCCGTCCCATCGCGGAGAAAACGGGCATCTGCAAAGTCCGGCCGCCTCCGGTGAGTGCGAGAGAAAAGAGCCGAGAAACGGCGACGCGGATGCTGGATTAGCCGTAGATGGACCCGGGGATTTAAAGGGACTCTCCAACATGGCGGATGCTCATTCTTTGTGCTGCCACGGCTAAGCTAGCTCTGCTCCGCGATGAATACACGTCGCGCCGGGCCGCCCCCGGTGCGCTCGAAATCTCGGCGGGCAGCGGCGCAGCGGCGCGTCGGAACCGGACCGTTCGACCGCGTGTCAACAAAGCCCCGGTGCTCCCGGTGGTCGAGCCACTTTTAGCCGCGACGCTAACTCACAGCTAGCGGCTCAACCTGTCACAGTTCAGCCACACGGCTTTGACACGGGAGGCGATGCGGAAGCCATCGAGCTGCGTAGAAGATGAACTGATAACAACACGAGCTTTTTAATGTTCATGTTTAATCTGCTTTCCCCCATGTTTTTGCCCCTAAATGTCCCCGGGAGGTTAATTATGGATTATTAGTGGAGGAGCATCATGGTGCAGTTGGGTCACAGTGTGTGTGTGTGTGTGTGTGTGTGTGATCCATCACTTGAAACGTGCATTTTCTCACGCACAGCTGCAGCAGCGTGTCTTTATCTCCATCCTCCCCCTTTTAATGTGGAAATAAATGACCCTCGTCACAAATAAATGACAGTAACACACAGTTATCCATTCACCAAGATCCCGCTGCTGCTAAATAACAAGTCGAGACTCCCTGAAAGTTGTGCGTTAACTCGCTTTATTACACAACAGCACAGTGAGGTTGCAGGTCATGATCACGGAAGATGAGTGTGTGTGTGTTCATGTGTGAGCCTGTGTTGCAGGGTGTTGTCCTCCATGTTGGCTTTGTGGTAAGCAGGGCTGGTGAGTGAGTCTTCCATCTGGCCATTTTGTGTGTCAGTGGGGGATGTGGGCTCCCGACTTAAACCAAGAATTTGGGGGTCTGCTGCTTGAATAATTGGGTTTTGTTGTTGTTCACGCTAGATCACGTGTGGTATTGACACAAATATTGATTGATGATTAAGAGCCACAGGCTGAAAATGAATGACATTTTGAATCCATGCTTTGAGAAACATGCAGTGAAGAATAAAAACAATAGTCGCACTATCTCTTCTTAATGTTGTGATGACCTTCATGTGCCATTGTGTGTATTTCTGTTTAGGGTTGGCAGCCTCCATTTGCCTGTGATGTGGACAGACTTCACTTTGTTCCTCGCATCCAGAGGCTTAATGAACTTGAGGTTAGTTACGTTGGTCAGGTTTTACCAGTAATTATTTGACTGTCTTCGTTTGTGTGTTTGTAGATTTAATTTGTCTTTGTCTGAAGGCCACACTGATCATAGCAGTTGTAGAACAAAGACCAGTAATGTTATTAATGCCTTAAGATTTTTTTATATAACAAAAGATAAATTACTTAATTCAGACTTTTGAGAATATTAAATTTAATCTGCATTTATTTTGAACAATAGGTCACATAACCCTGTGTTCTCGGATAAATATTTGTCTTTTCATGTTATATTTATCTAGGTTTTCCTTGAATGCCTTAAATTTCCTCTAATTGACTTAATTTGTACCTGACTGGTGTGAATGTTTTTTATATTGTTCTAGGCTCAAACCAGAGTTAAGCTCAACTTCTTGGACCAGATTGCCAAATTCTGGGATTTGCAGGGATGTGCCCTGAAGATTCCTCACGTGGAGAGGAAGATTTTGGATCTGTATAAGCTAAACAAGGTTGATAATTGACATCGCTGCCCATTATTTTCATATATATATATTTTTAAATGCAATCAAACAACTCATAACATTAACGTAACTTGCTGTCATTTCAGCTGGTGGCAGATGAGGGTGGTTTTGACATCGTCTGTCAGGACAGGCAATGGACCAAGATTGCAGTACAAATGGGCTTCGCCCCTGGCAAAGCTGTCGGCTCACACCTGCGAGGGCATTATGAGAAAATCCTCTATCCCTACAATCTCTTTCAGAGCGGAGCAAACCTGCTGGTGAGTTGGACACAAGTCAATATAAGAGCATATCCTGTTCCTCATGGCGCACACAAAAAGATTCTGTCATAGGTGCTCACCTGTAAACAAACAAACCTAATAATGGATTAAGTTTAATTCCAAATGTAGTATGTTTGATATTTGTGTTTCCATTTGAACTGGAAGCCAATAGTACAATTAAAGATTTGAAGACAAATGTAGAAAAAAGCATGATTAGGAAACGCATGTTTTGTGTTAAACTACAGCTTATATCTATGTTTTATCTGGAGATTTGGATCTTTCTGTATGTTTTCAAGTCGAGGCTATTTTCTGACTAATATACTGAGTGTGAATTTGTCATTTGGAGTCTAGTTGTGTCACTAAGTAGCTTCCACATCCTCATATTTCATGATATCTTGCAAGAGAGTTTATCCAAGGTCTGTGAATTGGAGCTGTGTGACCTCTTACACAGGTCACTCTAAATTGTTTAATTACTCAAGCTCTCTCTTGCCTCAGGCACCAGAGGCAGCTTCCAAACTGATGCGTTTGGAGGCTGATCCTGAACTTGACGAGGTACAGTATGTTTGTGTCATGGTTAAGAAGCCACTCGGCTAACAAAAAATGCATGTTTATCTGTGGCTGGGTTCTTCTCAGCATAGTGGTGTTATATTTACATTTACAGCTCTTCTCACAACTTAAAGTTCAGAGCAAACATGTGAAGTTTCCCTCCACAAGTCAGTCAACATTTAACATGTAACCTGGGAGTAACGTTAAAAACACAGTGCAGCATTATGTATTAGTTATGTATCAGTTAAAATATTGTAGGAGATATTAAGTTTTCTCTGACCCTTGTCAGTTGCTTCTCTAAATAATTACACTACAAACTCAGAGGTAACTTCTGAACGTGTGATATTCACTACCTGCACATCTTCCTTCTTCTAGTTCAGCATGTTACAAACTGTAACTAACCACATCCTTCTTATGGCCCCTTTTACTGCTCAAACTATATTGATACCGACTGTTGTCTCCATTCTTTGAACATTTGGTAGTTGCTGATACTTCCTCATAACTGTCACATAGGGTTGTTCAGTTTATTTTATTATCACTGACAGACCGAAGTAATAATCATGTCATATATACTTACACCCATTTTAAAATGTTGGCTGTAGTACACTCTCACTGACAGTTCTAAACAGTTACTTCTGTTCTGGATGTGTTGGTGTATTTATGTTTGAGGCTCTATGTCACATTCTTTTCATATCTTACTTATCGCTGCCTTTCAGCGTACAGGTATTTTCAGTTAGGCACACAAAAGGTTTTTGTTTGACAGTGGTTTTAACTGTTGTATCGTTTCCCCTCAGTGTGTTCAGAAGCCCGTCCCGTCAGTGGAGAGCACAGGAAGCCGGGAGAGTCTGGACACCAAGGAGCTCAAGCTGCAGGACCAGGCTCAGAGGCCAACTGCCCAGACGCCCAACATGTGCCCCAGCGCTCGCAGAGCCAAGCGCATGAAGTGTGAGGTGGGTGATTAGAACTGTTCCGTATCCAGCAGGACAGACGTTCCACTCTTATCGTCGCTTTAGTAGTTTTCAGTTTCAGTTTAACGTCTCACTCATTCTTAATCAGGCCGTGTGTGTGAAGACTGAACCAGGAGAACCTGGCGAGAGCAGGCCGAACCTGAGGCGGAGGATGGGTTCTTTTGTTGCCAAGCCAGAACCAGGTCAGACTCCACGTCCCAGTGGAAGTGTACATATACATTTAGCTGAGTTGTGTACTCACGTTATCCCAAAGGTTTCTTGCAATTTAAGGATAAATCAGTCATTTCATTTGACTCATCGTCTCCTTTTCAAGTGTCAATCGAAAGTGAATTTTCATCATGTGACGCACCTTTTAGATAATTGCCTTTTTTAACTTTATATTTTAACATGATAACGGAGAATTAGAACGAGAAACACAAATTTTGAACCCACAACTTCTCAAATTTTGGTTTTTATCGTATTTAATCATGGGATCTGATTTATTTTGAGAGGAGACCTTATAAAAAATCTACCTGCTATGATGACCGTGGTGGTGAAGACAACAGTCCCCATTAAACACACAACTTCATGACATCATCCAACATCTTTTGTTATTGTTTTGATTGAGAGACCCCTAGTGGCTGAAACATACATAGTTTGTGTTTAAACCACGCTATTAAACTTTATTACCAACATATTAGGATTTAATATCTGTTCGAAACAACTGTAATACAGTTACAATTGGAGTGAAGTATTATTCAAATGTGCCAGTCATTTACGTGGCTCATTAATGCTTAATGGGGTGTTAAAGTAAAGGTAAACAGTGCTCACTGTTATTGTTATGACAGTAGTGACCAAACCAGTTAATTGTGTGGTTTCTTCTTGCAGAAAAAGAAATTCCCATTCCAGTGAAAGTGGAACCAGTTGAAATCAAAGAACCAATAACTGAAGCAGACAAATCGAAGTCACGGTACAAGAAATTCCTCCCCCCAGTTCCTCCAAGTCCAGTAAGTAGAAAAGACTTTGTCATATCAAATTTCTTGATCAAAGAGTAATGGATTAATCTTTATTCACATTAACCTCCATTGTTTGTTTACAGTTTATTTTTTATAGGATCCATCTAACTTCTCTAAACGTATTTTAAACTATTCATTAGCAAAAACTATATAATACAAGTAACCTTGACATTACCAGGTATATTAATTATGTAATTACATACAGTAATATATTTATTGTAGGACTGTGTTATTTTAAGCAAGCTGCATCTTATAAACTGCCAGCCCAGTGTATGTTTCACTTTCACATTCATTTGTGTTATACATTTGTGAGTTGAGAACAGCTCTGTGTAGAAGACTCTGTAACACGTACATTACAAACTCCTCCTCTTGTTTTCCAGGTGGATCTGGTTGTGTGTCTGGTGTGTGGCAGTGGGGGAGATGAAGACCGTCTGTTGCTGTGTGACGGCTGTGACGGCAGCTATCACACTTTCTGCCTGATCCCTCCTCTGCACGACGTCCCCAAAGGAGACTGGAGGTGCCCCAAGTGTCTGGCTCAGGTGAGGAGGAACTGAGCGTAACTAACGAGCAGTGAGAAGTATCAGGAAAAACAAGCGTGTCTAACTACAAGACAGATATCACAAATAAATATAGAGATATTTATAAATAATAAAATTGCTCCAAACCTATTTGTTCAAAGATTTTTTTCTCTTATTCAGGAATGCAACAAACCACATGAGGCATTTGGCTTTGAGCAAGCGTACAGAGACTATTCCCTGCGTGCTTTTGGGCAAATGGCTGATGCATTCAAATCAGATTACTTCAACATGCCAGTTCATGTAAGTAGAAAAGGTTTCAAAATAAACTGGTGAGTCTCTTGTGGGTGAACATTTTAACTTATATCTCTTGTGTTTTACAGATGGTACCCACAGAGCTGGTGGAGAAAGAGTTCTGGCGTTTGGTCGGAGCCATTGAAGAGGATGTCACGGTGGAATATGGAGCAGATATTGCCTCAAAAGAGTTTGGGAGTGGATTCCCCATTCCGAATGGAAAATTAAAGCTTTCCCCAGCTGACGAGGTAAACTCGCACTCCTTAGTGCCCTTGGTGTGGAATTGAAATGAGCCAGTCATGTTTTTTTTGAGTCTATATTAAAATGAAGGGTTATGATTGGTGTGTGATTGATCTGAGTTATTCTCCTCTCTTGCAGAAATACCTCAAGTGTGGCTGGAACCTCAACAACCTGGCGATGATGAACCCCTCTATACTGACTCATGTGACTGCTGACATCTGTGGGATGACACTGCCATGGCTTTATGTTGGCATGTGCTTCTCCTCCTTCTGCTGGCACATTGAAGATCACTGGAGCTACTCCATTAACTACCTGCACTGGTACTAAAACATCTGAAACTGAAGCTCAGCTGCTTCTCTTGTGTGGTCTGGACTTTGAGTGCTTGTGATTTTGCTCCGTGGAACTAACACACAAACAAAATGTTATTTACTTAAAGGGGGGAACCCAAAACCTGGTACGGAGCTCCTGGCTTTGCAGCAGAACAGCTGGAGGAAGTGATGAAGAAACTGGCCCCTGAGCTTTTCGACTCTCAGCCTGATCTGCTGCACCAACTAGTCACCATCATGAACCCCAACACCCTGATGGCCTATGGAGTCCCAGTATGTTTTTATATGACTTGCACATGCAATGATGCCTTTCTGTGTTTATCCACAACAACATTCAGCTATGAACAAGCATCTTTTCTTTCCCCACAGAACATTAATCATCTTATTTTTGTCTCCTCTCTGCTTTAGATTTACAGAACAAATCAGTGTGCTGGTGAGTTTGTCATCACGTTTCCCAGAGCTTACCACAGTGGCTTCAATCAGGGCTTCAACTTTGCTGAGGCAGTCAACTTCTGCACTGTGGACTGGGTACGCATCACATCTGTTATGTGTTTCCAAACAACACAGCAAAGTTTTTAAGAAAAGTGATCAAAATACTTTCTCAGGCATAGCTGCAAAAACAAACAACTTGTGAAATAAATAATTTTAAAGTATTCTTTCATAATCACTTGTTTTTACACCACATAACACAAAAAAACAGAAGCTAATCCAAGTGGTTACCAAGCAACACACACATACTGGTACGTAAATTGTGTTTGGCCAAGTAATTAATGTCTGAATACCAGCAGATTTATTTGGAAACTTTCAGAGAACGTAAACCATAAAATAATCTGTTGCCTGTATTATTGTGGCTTCAACTTGGCCTTAACTCTCCTTTCAACAAATTTTTTTCCTGCCTCTGATTCCAGATGCCTCTTGGCAGGCAGTGTGTCGACCACTATCGAATGCTGCACAGGTACAACGTGTTCTCCCATGATGAGATGGTGTGCAATATGGCCTCGAAAGCAGGAACACTTGATGTGGTCCTGGCCTCCGCTGTCCACAAGGACATGGTCGTCATGCTCCGAGAGGAGCAGGACATTAGAGAGAAAGTGAAGAAAATGGTAAGACGGCCCTCACTATCATGTTAATATAAGATTTAACTTATTTTGCACTTTGAGTATATGACAGGCTTTTTTCAGTGTAGAGACTAATGGCTGTCAGGGCTTTCTTTCCAGCAATTACACGTTTAACACAGTTCAAGAGAAATCACTAAACACATTCACTGTGTTGTACTTCACCGGGACTGGGTTTCAACATCTTTTGTTTGTCTCACTCCTTCAGGGGCTGATTCATTGCAAGGAGGCAAAATATGATCACCTCCAGGATGATGAGCGACAGTGTGCCAAGTGCAGGACCACCTGCTACCTGTCTGCCGTCACCTGTCCCTGTAGCCCAGGGGTACTGGTCTGTCTGCACCACATCAACGACCTGTGCTCCTGCCCTATCGCCAACTACACACTGAAGTAAGTCCCTCTGGAGCTGACTCAGAGGCAGTGAACACGCTTTGTGTGCAGAGATCAGCAAACAAGATGTTTCAATGTGATGAATATGTTCAAGGAAGTAAAAACTGAAGTATATTAGTGTGTCATATTATCCCAGTGCACTCAGTAACTTTATTGTTGTGTTTGCACCTGCAGTTTCAGATACACACTGGACAAGCTGTTCCCCATGATGAATGCTGTGAAGCAGCGATCTGAGCTGTATGACGAATGGGCCTCCCGTGTGGCAGAGACTCTAGAGGCCAAACTGGAGAAGAAGAGAGGTAAGCAGCAAGAATAAATAAGAAAGCCACGCAGCATTAAAAATACCATCTGCTATGTTTAACACACATAATAACTGTCTGCTTATATTTATTTATGGAACATTCCAGTGTTCACACTGATAATTCCAAAATTAGGTAGCTAAAACCCAATGTGGATTTCTTTAGGATGCTTTAGATATGTTTAGCAAATCATTTCAAAAGCATCCCTTAAAATGAAATGAAAACAAAGGGCTCCTGGAAGGGGGGAAAACTCATTTAAAATGATAGTATACTTTCATGAATTAAAAACATGATTGTCAATAATGTAAGTTCTATTACACAGGATTGACTGATGTGTCTCAAACCAGTGGTATTGTCCTTGTGACAGAACAACTGTAAACATTGTGACCAAAACTTATGAAAAACAAGTAGACGCACCAAGTCAGTGTTTTCTCCACAGGTTCTTCAAACTGTGAGTGTGTTAAAGCAGCTGTTCTCTCCTCAGGCCTGCCAGTCTTTCGCTCCCTTCTCGCTGAATCAGAGTCCAAGCTGTTCCCCGAGAATGACCTGCTGCGTCGGCTGCGTCTGGTCACACAAGATGCAGAGAAGTGCTCCTCGGTGGCTCAGCAGCTGCTGAACGGGAAGAGGCAGACCAGGTATCATTAATACACTGTTCTTCATCAGACAATTGTATAAATTAGACACTGTCACATTTCGTTAACTTATTCTGGGGTTAACTCCTTCTCTGGACACCCTGCTCTAGGTATCGATGTGGTAGTGGGAAATCACGGAGCCAGCTGACCGTGGAGGAGCTGAGTTCGTTTGTGAGGCAGCTGTATAACCTCTCCTGCTGTCTCCCTCAGGCTCCTAAGTTGAAGGTAGGCTGACGAACACAATAACTCAGGAACAACATGACGTAGGAACTTCCTGCTTCCAACACAGGTTCCTCATAAGGGGATGAAGTGATTAGACTTTGGGCGTGCTGCATAGATATATGTCGGTATCGATGACCCGTGAACACACAAGAATATTTACAAAAAAGATAACGAAAGTAAGAAGAATTAATAAAGTAAAAACACGGAGCTGCCGATTGCTTTGAAGATTCCCTCATTTCTCTATTCAGATATGTAAAAGCATTCATTTTAACGACCTGTATGTTTTCCTCCTTCAGGAACTCTTGAACCGTATCGAAGACTTTCAGCAGCACAGCGAGAAAGTCCTGGCAGACCAAGTTCCTAGCGTCGCTGAGATCCAAAGCCTGCTGGACGTCAGCTTTGACTTTGATGTGGACCTGCCCGAGCTTCCTCGCCTAAGAGTGAGGCTGGAGCAGGCACGCTGGCTGGAGGCGGTGCAGCAGGCCAGCGCCCAGCCCGCCACCCTGACTCTGGAGACCATGAGGAGGCTCATCGACCAGGGAGTCGGCCTGTCACCTCATCCGTCCGTGGAGAAAGCCATGGCACGTCTTCAGGAGCTGCTCACCGTGTCTGAGCACTGGGAGGACAAGGCGAGCAGCCTCCTTAAAGCCAGGTGAGGGCAGCACTGACTGATGTCAGCATTTAAACCACAGAGTCAAAAAAAACATCCAAAACATCAACAAAAAAAGATGTTGTGATAGGTTTTTATTCTCTGTTAGAAAAAATAAAATCTTAAGATAAACTTTATCTTAAATATTATTTTATTTTACTGGTCAAAGCTTTAACTTTCTGTCCAGGTATTTGCACTGACTGATTGTAACTGAATAATGAATATGACGTCAGTGCTCCTGATTTTGCTTCATTTTAATTACAGCTAGTGCAAAATGCTGCCGCTAGAATATTCACCAAGATCAACAAAAAGTGAGCATCACGTTTAGTTCTGCCCTCATTCCATTGTTTCTCAGTGCTGTTCAGTATTAACTGTCACAAGTGCTTTTCAAAGGCTTTTAATGGCATGGCTGCAGCAATGTGCATCTTTCTTTTTCCATTATCAGAAAAACTAATTTTAAATCAGATCTTAAAATTTTCACATTTAAAAAAAAAAAAAATAACTCAAGGATTTTGGGTTTTCACACAATTCAAATGTTGTTAATTAACTTTATTTGTGGTGATTTGCCTCAGTCACATTCTATGTAAAGACATTTAAAAACTGTAGCTTGAAATGATTCAATAAAAACTCCATAAACAGGACGTGTTCACCATTTTGAAAGTGTGAAGCTTCCAGTGAAAATGTCTGACGATGCCATGACAGAGCTTATTACAGAGTTTTTAACTTGGTGGCGATGCAGGCATTATGTCTACATTCATCATCTTCAGCATATCAAGTGTGTTTTATTGTCCACCAGACCACCACACTCCATAGAGACCCTTAGTGCTGCTGCTGAGAAGGCATCTGATATCACCGCTTACCTCCCACACTGTCTGCTGCTGAAAGACACCATCAGAAAGGCCCGGGAGTGGCTTCAAGAAGCTGAGGAGCTTCAGGTCAGGGCACCTATTACACTTCATGATCAGAGTTATTTACTAAGTGGGTGATTGTTGCTCTAAAACAAATCTGTATATTTCAGGCCAGCGGCTGCATACTGCGGGTGGACAGCCTCTCTGACATGGTGCTACGAGGACAAGCCATTCAAGTCCACCTGGAACCTTTGGACCAACTGGAGTCTTTAATGGTAGAAGTGCAAGAATGGAAAGAATCTGCAGCAACAACTTTTCTTCAGACAGACTCTGCTCTTACTTTACTGGAGGTAAAATGACCATTAAGACCATGAGGTTATGATTGTTGAGTTTATTATTTAGTCTCTCATTTCTCATGTCCATTGTATCTCAGTTAGGTCCCAGCTTCTTCTGGGTTTTAATGTCCACAGTCAAACCTGTTCTTCAGCAGCTGCATGTCCAACACAGTTTAGAGTCGTTTCACCTTTATGTCTCTGATCACTCATTTCTATTCCAGTAAAGTCTATCAAACAGGTTTTTCATACACAAACCATTACATAAGCTCATTTTGCTTTTGATGATTTTGAATTAAGAATTTGATCTGTAGTTTTCATTTTAATCAGCTGCCAGTGAATACAGGAAAAAAACAATTATAGCTCAGTTTCCTCACATTTTTTTTGTTCATCACAGGTTCTGTCCCCAAGATTTGACCTTGGAAATATTGGTTCTCCAAAGAGAAAGATCAAAAAAGGCAAAGAGTCACCGAAAACTAACAAAAAGAAAACGCCAGGACTCAACTCTCTCACTGATGTGGAGAAAGTGCTTTCAGAGCACAAGGATTCTACCTCTGCAGTGAGCATGGTTTTCCTTCAGAGATAAATTGTTATGTTAGTTGATATAATTAAAGGTTTAACTGATTTGTTCTGACTCTGACTTTATTTCATATCCAGATGGCAACTCTTGAGGAGCTGCAGGTGAGGGAGATGGAGGCTTTCTCTAATCTCAGGGCAGCAAATGAGTCTAAGCTCCTTCCCACCGCAGACTGCATGGACCTCAAGGTGTGTGTCTGTCAGAAGGCGCCCATGGGTGCAATGCTGCAGTGTGAACTCTGCAGGGACGCCTTCCACAGTGTGTGTGTCAGAGACACATCAGACCCCTGCAAAACACAGCCGTGGCTCTGTCCGCAGTGCCAGCGATCAGAAAAACCCCCCTTGAACAAAGTCCTCTCCCTGCAATCATCTCTGCGGCACATTGGGGTGCGCCTGCCTGAGGGCGATGCTCTGCACCATGTGGTGGAGAGGACAATTAACTGGCAGCACCGAGCACAACGGATTTCAAAGATGTGTAACCTACCGGAGCTGGAAGAAAGACCAGGAACTCCTCCCACTCTCACCAGCTGGGTATCAGGCAGCCATGAAACTCACAACAACTCTCAGGTCCCTCATCAACAGCTCGTTTGACTTGTTGTAGCAGTTTACAGAAACGTAAATCAGAGTATGTGTAGATAAGTCCTCAATAACATTTGGGATTTGATGTGTTTGATGCAGGCGCCCTCCTTGACTCCAGAGTGGAACAGGACAAGCCATGCTCAGACTGTCTTTTACACCGAGCAGAGATGTATACCACTGCAGGGTTAGTGTCAGCATCCTCTGAACTGTCACTGCGACTGCTGAAGAATAATTTGTCTGTATGTTGATTACATATGAATAATAATAATCATAATAATAATAATGTCTGACAGGCTTGAGTCGGGAGCTGGAGGATTTGATGGTGGAGGGGCTCCTGCTGCAGGTGTCTCTGCCAGAGGTCCAGAGCCTCTACCACACATTACTGGACCGAGTCACCAGCCAGCAAACAAACAGATGCACGTTGCCGCCACAGGAGGAGGCCACAGACACTGATGTACACACGCAGTTTAACTCTCAGGGAAAAAATCTGCCACTGAACCAGGTGAAGACCAGCAGAATCAATGAAAACTCAAAAAAACCCACAACAAAACAGCATCAAACTCAGTTTTAGTTGTCGTTTTATTTTCAGGAGGATGTCGACGCCATGAGGGAAATTATGACTGGCTCAGAAAAGAAAGGGAAGCGACATTTGGAGGACAAAAAACATTCTCACAAAAGACAGAAGATAAATAAGAAGAATCTGCAGCGCAGAACAGCATCAACCTCATCCTCCCCACGCTCTGATTTCTCCCAGTCTGACGAATCTGAGGAGGAAATGGCCGTTTGTCCAGCAGAGAGGTGTCAGCTGCCAGAGGGAGATGAGGTGAAATACTGTTGATCTTTTCTCTGCAGGGGACAGTTCACCTTCTACGTTACATCACATCAATATAGAATATACGTTATATAATAAATATCATGTATCCAAATGATCTGAGTTTAGCATCAGAGAAAGACGTTTTATTAAAAATTGAAGAAATATAAAAGATAAGGAACAATTCAGTTCAATTTCTCTGAGCATCCGGAAAATGATATCGGAGATAGAGGAGGGTTCCTCAAGACATATTTTTACTTTCGGAAATCTGCAAATCTTTAAAAGTCTTTAAAGCCACAGGAGGTAGAAGGACTACCATAGTTTATACAGGTCATCAGGAGTGGTTATGTATCTGTAACCTGAGAGTAGGACTGTCTCCTCATTCTGCAGGTTTCATCACCACCACACCCACAACAAACACTGTCACCTCCTGTCACCACAGTTACCTACAGAGGTGCTCATGAGGACACAGCTAATAAGCTAATAAACAGCCAAAACACAATCTTTTATTATTATGGTAAATGTAAAAGAAATTGGTTGTTTATGAAATGTTGAGACAAATAAGACTTGGAAGATTTATAAGAAATACAGGATTTATTGTAGCTGCAGTTGTTGTTTTGGTTTTCTGGCCTTGCAATGTCATCGTCATGGTTCCTCTCAACAACGTCACAGTGTTGTTTTCAGCATCAGAACTGTGAACTACCTGCTCATCACCAAATAACAGACAGACACAGACACAGTCCTTCAGCATTTAGCAACTGCAGAGGCAGATTTCTCCCTCAGGAGTTGGTGTTGATAAAAATATTGGACTTGGATTCATGAAGCTGCCAGAAACCTGAACAATAATGTTGGATGTTTAAACAAGCGGCTGAAAAGTTGACGGTATCAACTTCCAACACAATAATATGTCTGTGTTGTTTTTAGGTTTGTTTTACTTCTGCCCTTAAGTAAAGAACCAGTTCATTGTAAAACTGTGTCTGTCTGCAGGTGAACTGGGTCCAGTGTGACGGCAGCTGTAACCAGTGGTTCCACCAAGTCTGCGTCGGCGTTACAGCTGAGATGGCGGAGAAGGAGGACTACATTTGTGTCAGGTGTACGCTGAGCGACGGACACATGAGAAAATGAAGAGACAGCTAAGGTTTCGGTGAAGGATGTTGCCCGGAGAGGTCTGTCTGTCATCAGCCTGATATCGGAGCCACCAGTCTGGATGTGTCACTGACCCCTCACCCCCCCTCACCCCCCTCACCCCTGTCCCATCTGTCCTTTTGTAACAACGGTGCTATCTCCTCTTTGACTTGTTGTCCAGAACTATAATGTTTAGTTATTTTTTGTTTTGTATTTTTACATATATATATATATTATATATATTTCTTTCTTCTTATGAATTGTTTGTGGTTGTCTAAATGAAAAAGAAAAATGACAAAAAAAAACCAAACACTTGATGTGAAGTGTGCTGCATGGGATTCCGTTGCGTTGGCGCAAAGGAGTCTTCCAACATGAAGCACCTGTAAAGAGGGTTAATCAAGGGTTCATTTGATCTCCTCTGGAACCTCCCTGCATGTTAAACCAGAGCCGAGGGGACTGAAACAATTACTATGACTTTTTTTTTCTTTGAGATCCAGTGTTTAGTACATGCATCTTAATATAATTATTCCCGGTTTCTTTTGTAGAATAGTTTTATTTATCTGAGCAATAATTTTTGTCTGAGTTGACTTAAATGGCTTGATATCCGCTGAGTTGTGTTTTCTTTAGCGATGGTGTGATGTACAGGAAGTTTCGCCGGTGGACGGTTCACTGCTGCGGAGGACAAATGTCGCATGCCGAAGAAAAAAAAAGTCTCTGTTGACACGTAACTCTGCAGTAGTGTAGTCTGGGTAATGATACTATGGGAAGGACTCGGGGTTGTAGCTGAAGATGTTACACGTTTATATTGTGGAATAAAGCCCTTTTGTTTTATGGAGAAGTCTCGTCCCTTGACTCTAACGTGGTAGAAAGAAACCTCAAGATGTTTTTGTAAATGGGAACATCAATTTATTCCTCTCTTTACCATGAGTACATTAGCTGAATCACTTTAAACTCTAGTTTTATCGATGACACAGTGTTGCTCTGGTCTCTATAAATGGACGAGATAATATTTCTTCCTGTCGGCCAAAGCAAAAGAAAAACCTTAAAGGTAAAAAAATTCTGCATGATGGATTAGTAGGCTACTGAAGTGGATTTCGCAGAACTACTTAACAAGAATTATGGACTTGCTGGGTTTCTGTTTGCGACAGTGGGTCATAAAACTTCACAAGCTAATTTAAAATAAGGATAAAAACATTGTTTAACAGCTAAAGCTCCACATGGTTTTAAGACTGTTGTTATAAAGACAACAGGGTTTTAAAGCGCTGCATAATATAAGCCTGAAGACAGCAGAGGATGCATCAGCAGAGTGTGCCAGGATTAGATCCATTATAATGCGACTATAAAACATCAATGACAGGAGTGAAAAGGGACAAATGCACCATGTGAGCAGCTCCGTCCTCCAGGCCAGTGGTTGATGAATAACTGTGAGCCGAGTCTGCCCCTGAAGTAAAACTGAATTTCATCCAACCATAATCAGAAAGGGTCGTTATCTAAGTATCGATACATGTGGTGCAACTCCATTCATACATTTGTGTGTATGTTTGTAACATAAGCTGCAGTAACTCGTTAGATAACGGGAACAATTAAATCTGCTCTCAGGTGCAATTCTTCAAAAAGTCTCACAATTAGTTTTATTCATCGTCCATAATAAATCCTGTAAAACAAAAACAACAACATAAAGGGCTGCACCGTAAAACACAACACTGGCCCCTTAAGGTCCACAGCGCCCCCTGCAGCCACAAGTGTTGATTCATTCTGTTTTGTGGTTTTTCATGGCCTGTACATCCTCGTGATCTACCGTTCAGCATTACTCTGGAACTAGCAGATCCTGATTCAGGTGTTCAGAGTGGGACAGAAAGATGCTCTATTCTTCACATTAGAACTAAGTGTTTCCTCAGTAAAGTTGACTGGCAGACGGAGTGGGAGAGAAACTACAGGGATCAGCTGTTGGACTCTGTTTAAACAGAATAATGAAGCTTTGATCAGATCGTTATGTAACGTACGGAACAGTGGGAGCAGCATCACATCATAACATGAATAAACGTGAATCAACTACAAACTAAATTAAAAGAGAGATATCATCACGTGATGTGTGACGGCATTATCCATCAATCCATCTATTCATCCATCCATCCATCCATCCATCCTCCATTAATCCATCCCTCCGTCATTCATCCATCCACCCATATATAATAAAACATATATATTGTATGTTGTTATGTTAACATCTCTTTTGTTTTACATGTTTGGCCTCAAGCTCAGTCACCGTGTGGCAGTGAAGAACAGAGATGTAGAAGAGAAACTCTGCAACAACTAAAACCTCATTTAATTATCCTCATATGTTAAAAAACACAAAGTTAACTAAGGAAATATGCATTTTCTCCTTATCCCAAGGTCACAGAGAATATCCAAACAGAAATGATCTCTTGAAAAGGTCACAGTTGAAGGAATATTTGAGTAAATGTGTTTTTACAAAGTTCAGTACTGATTAATAACCACTACACATACATGTTGTTATCATGACATGTGATGTGTAAGCCAGTGTTCAACCCGTCATTCATTACTTCTCTCTACAACAGAGACTGGTAACAACACTTTCGTTTGTTGGAATAAAGGCTGGAAGGTTTTGTTTGTGCAACACTGACACGCACACACTCCACAGTTCATCAAATGACTTTCAGAGTTGTGCACACACGAGCCTCGTGAACGGAAGGAGAAAGGTGAGTTAACAGGTGAGGTAACCACTCCCTCAGTGAGTCAGGTGAGCTGCCTCCTCCTCACACAACACACCACAGTGACCACAGCTGCACAGCCGGACCTCTCATGTTACCTCTGTGTGTGTGTGTGTAGCACCATGTGATCTAAAAGTTAAACATGAACCACTTTAGCAGATTACTAGTTCACATGGAGATGGTTCACATGGCAGGTATTTTCAGCTCAGCACTCAGACATCACAGAAGTGCTTTAGAACGTCAGATGGAGACTGAAGCAGCACAGACTGTGTTTATACAAGTGAAGGTTTTATTGAAAATAAGTATTAAAAGAGCCTGAATGTTTTGATGCTGCAAATAATATTTGTTAGGATATGTCTGTCTTTATTTGTTGTGCCTGTGCACTTCACTGCTACTTTAGTGTTAGAAAATGTCTCATCTTGTCTTCACCGTGGATAGTTAGGAACGTAATTTCGATTCCTTTGTATGTCTGGTATATGTGAATAAATAAATTGACAATAAAGCTGACTTGGACTTTGAATATAAATAACTGTTCTAAAAGTTTTAGGCACTAAAAGTAAAGTGAGGAGGCTTTGAAAAAGAATCCAAAAGTTAGATTTTTCAATAAACTTCACAGGAGTTGCAGTCGAGATAAAAACAAGTAAATCGAACCACCAACTCTGAAGATATTTTCTCCCTCAGCAGAGTAAGACGGTGGTTGTGTGGTTATGAAAAGTAGCACAGCTGCGGTGAGAACAGTTGTTTGGCAGGTGAATTTTTTTTTTTTTTTTTTGCTGTGATGTTTGAAGTTGGGTCCAGAAACATGAATCTTTCCCGTGTGAGTTAAAAAGATGCTCTTGTTCTTTGTTTGTTCACTTTGGCATTTAATCTCACACAGAGGTGGGATTTTGTTGTTTTTCCGGTGAATAACCGAGAGACACAGTCAGACATCTAAACAGTGTTATCACCTGATCTCCAGGTTGTTTTTGTTTGTTTGTGTCAGAACAAACTGCAACTGAAGATATTTAGATTCTTCACCATCACTCTGCACCATCTGATGGATCTGATATTATTCTGCAGCAAGACAACAGCACCAAACAGACAGAGTTAAAAAAGAGATGATCTGTCTATCTATCTATCTATCTATCTATCTATCTGTCTTTCTATCTATCTATCCATCTATCTATCTGTCTTTCTATCTATCTATCTATCTATCTATCTATCTATCTATCTATCCATCTGTCTTTCTATCTATCTATATATCTATCTATCTGTCTGTCTATCTATCTATCTGTCTTTCTATCTATCTATATATTTATCTATCTATCTATCTATCTATCTATCTATCTGTCTGTCTATCTATCTATCTATCTATCTATCTCTCTCTCTCTCTCTCTATCTATCTATCTATCTATCTATCTATCTATCTATCTATCTATCTATCTATCTGTCTTTCTATCTATCTATCTATCTGTCTGTCTATCTATCTATCTGTCTTTCTATCTATCTATCTATCTATCTATCTATCTCTCTATCTCTCTCTCTATCTATCTATCTTTCTCTCTATCTATCTGTCTATCTATCTGTCTTTCTATCTCTCTGTCTTTCTATCTATCTATCTATCTATCTATCTATCTATCTATCTGTCTTTCTATCTATCTATCTATCTATCTATCTATCTGTCTATCTATCTATCTATCTATCTATCTATCTATCT